CTTATAATTCATAATGTACCCATTTGATCATAGTTTGTGCCTAGCCGTAACACAGAAGTGGGAGAAGGGAAGCTGATGAGTTAGTAAAACATTCATCTGGAAACCATGAAGGCTTGACTTTCTACTTCAAACAGGACTAAAAGACTAGGTGTAGGCAGCTGTAAAAGCACTTATGTAACATTAGTGATTGAAGGGAGTACAGAGGCAGGTGTGTTTGCATCTGCAGATCTCCCTGGTAAGCTTAGCCTAGTCAACAAAGAAGCTTCTAACTTAGTGAAGTGACCATGCCTCATAATAAATGACTATATAAATAAATAAACAACCAATCAAGCAAATAAAACCATGGAACTAGAGCAGTGGATAAAGAATTTGCTATGCAAGTCAAAAAAAAGTGTAATGTTCTACAAGCTCTAAGAGACCACAGATGCCAGTGAAGATTACTATACCCATCAAAACTGTCAAACAAAATATACAGAGAAAAAAATCCACAAAAATATAGAAATTTAAGTAGTATACATCTGCCAATCCAGCTCTACAGACGGAGATATAAAGAAACTTAAATCTAAAGAGGTAAATAGAAAATAGATAAAATAAGATAAAATAGAAAATAAGATAAAATTAGAAAATAAGATCTGCCACATACAAGAAAGAGATCTTACTGTGAACAATAGACATCACCTCAGCATAAAAAGCGTGGAAAAGATAGTCCAAGAAAATGGACCCAAGAAGCAAGCAGGTATAGTCATTTTAATATCTGACCAAAAAAGACTTCAAGTCAAAACTAATCAGAAAAGATAAAGAAGGACACTACATACCCACTAAAAGGAAAAAGAAATACACCAAGAGGATATTGCAGTTTTAAACATTTATGCACCAAACACATATGAACCCTTGCATGTTGATAGTGGGTTACTTCAGTATTCAACTCTCACTAAAGACAGTTCATCCAGACAAAATTAAAATAGAGAAATGCTTGATTTAAATTATATCATAAATCAAATGAACCTAGCAAATATTAACAGAACATTTCACCCAAACATAAAACAATATGGCTTCTTCTCAGCAGCTCATGGAACAGTCTCCAAAATTGACCACATACTTGGACACAGAGCACATCCCAACAGATACAAGACTATTGAAAAACCATACCTCATATTGCCTACAATGGATTAAAGCTGGATATCAACAGAAACAGAAACAACAGAATGTATAATAACTCATGGAAATAGAACAACTCATTTCTGAATGAAATAAAGGTCAGGAAAGAATTAAGAAGGAAATTAAAAACTATTTACTTGAATGAAAATGGATTTCTGAATAGGACTCTGATAGCACAGGCATTAAGAACAGTAATTAATAAATGGGAGCTCATGAAACTGAAAAGCTTCTGTATGTTAAAGAACATAAATAATATTGACAAAGTGGCAGACTAAAGAATGTGAAAACATCTGTACCAATTACAAATCCACTTCTAGTGAGATTTCAAACTTGTAGAGGCACTATGAAAACAAGTGAGGCACTTCCTCAGGAAGCTGTGAATAGATCTACCCAAGATCTAGCTACAACCTTCTCGGGCATAAACCCAAAGGACTGCATGCAGCTATGTATACACATGCTCATCTTTGTTTACTGTTGTTGTATCGTTAAAGCCAGCTAGAAATTAAAAACCACCTAGAGGTCCATCAACAGATGAATAGGTAAATAAAATGTGGTACATGTATACAATTAAATATTTTTCAGTTGTGAAACAAGTAAATCACATAATTTGCAGGAAAATGGATGGAGCTAAAAAAAGAAAAGAAAATCACTGTGAGTGAAGAAACCCAAACACAAAAGAGAAATGGTGAATATGTTTGATTATCTGTGGATTTTAGCTTTTAAGCCTTTGATAAACATGCTATAATCCATATAACCACAGAGGTTATTTTTATAGAGTAAAGGACTAGTCAGGAGGGAATGATCTCTCTAGAAAAAGGAAACAGAATTTATTGTAATGGAGAAACAGGGTATAGACTGGAACTGAGGATCAAAAAGGGAAGGGGAGAGAAGAGGGTATAAGAGAGGCGATTCAGGGAGCCACAACTGACACTAAGGGACATTTGATGGGTCATATGGAAACCTACTACTCTAGAAACGTCTTAAAATAAAAGAAGTGCTGGTTTTATTTCTAATTTGATGCTGATTTGAGTATCTATATACTTAGGAAAGGAGGGGAGCAGATAGCATTCCATACAGGTGATAACTTTTATGTTGAATTACTTGTAATGAATTCATATTAAGGTTGATGGTGGATGGAGGCTTCATGTCTGAGGTCTCTTTTTTCTTTTTCAAAAATATTCCGTCTTTGAGAAAAAACTGATATCAGAGAACAAGCGGTTCATTCACTGAAGAGAGTAAAAGAAGGGGCAAACCTGGTAGTTGGGTATGAGTCCTAAAACATAGAAACCTACAGTTTGGCTCAGGTCTCAGGATTCTGCAGCTGGAGCTCAGAGAGTGGGTGACTTGCAGAGTAAACTTGCCTCAGAGGGGAGCAAAGAGCAGGAACTGTTGAACGGCAGCCATGTACAGCGATTCTCCTGCCCTCCCATGATACACAAGCTCCCTGCAGCACATTTTCCAGCTTGTCTGGGAGTACCAACTGCAAACCAAACTTCCAGGACAGCTGATAAAACTGGTTTAGTGCTTTTAATATTTTAAAATATAGCTCTGAAGCATATGGAATATGAACTAGGCTCATTAAAGAAGGACCAAGAGGCTAGGCAGAAAGATCAGGAGCAAGACTGACCGTAAATGATGCTAAGAGACAAAATATAATTGCTGGCAATACAGTGAAGTAGAACATCTGTGCTTTAATTACAAGAAAAGTAAGGAAGTTCAGGGTGCTGGACTTGCTGGTTAGCTTGAAGTCAATTACTACTAAAAGGGAAATGAGCATGGGTCTTGTTGTATCATTTACACTGTGTCTAATGTATTCAGACTGGAAGTAGCCACAGCATAGACTCAACTGAAACAGAGATGCAAGTGTGGCTCCAGTTCAAAGCGCCTGCAACTCCAACAATGTATATCATGACCTTGTCTTCTTCACTGTTCCCCTTGAAAGCTGACTTCCAACTAGACCCAGGGCTAGTTTCCTGCTGTGTTTGGCCCAGAAACCACAGCCTGGATCAGCTACTGTTGTGGGTCAAGGATCATCACACTTCTCATGGTGTCCAGCTTTATTTTACTTCTTAATGTCTTTTTAAAAGAGAGTCCCATGCTAGCTTCAAAATCCCATATAGCTGAGGAAGAATTGAATTTTAGATGCTCCTGCCTCCATCTCCTGGCATAGACATGTACCAGGACACTTAGTCCATTGTGTGCTGGGTACTAAACTCGAGGCTTCATGCTCACTACACAAGCACTCTGCCAACTGAGCTTGACCCCTAGCCCCATTTTCCAGCATTTTAGAGCATTTCCTTAATTATGTTCCAGGACATTGGTTTCTGCACACTCACTGTCCCTTGGCTTTGTTCTCTGTGTAATTTTTGTTTCAAGGCTCAGATCTCTGACTTCACATCCAATCTACACACACTCTTAAGGTAATCTAATCAAGCTTGAGCTTGATTTGATTAAAACTTTAATTGAAGTACCTAAATATACAACTATGGCTGTCAGTCCTCTCTTGACTTTTGCATCAATAATTATGCCTAAATTAACATATTAAAGGCTAATCTCACCCAGTCTCTTGATGTTCTCTCTCTCTCTTTTTTTTTTTCATTGCAGGCTCTACCTACTCTTCATCTCACATCTCTAAGATCTGTTTCCACTCTCTCTCACACTGACATGTGACTGTCAGTGAGAGTGGCAGGTCGCTTAATAAGCATTCTCCAAACCTGACCCCTATTGTATTACTGCACAGCCAACACTACAAGTACTTATTTCCCAGAGACTACAATATTTTAAGAATTCATTCATTTGAAACAAATAAAAATATCCCAGTTCTCTATAACAAACACTTTCATAGCTTTCCAGGACACTTACAAAAAAGGAAAGAAAGAAAGAAAGAAAGAAAGAAAGAAAGAAAGAAAGAAAGAAAGAAAGAAAGAAAGAAAGAAAGAAAGGAAGGAAGGAAGGAAGGAAGGAAGGAAGGAAGGAAGAAAGGAAGGAAAGAAAGAAAGAGAAGAAAGAAAAGAAAAAAGAAAACACCCAGTGTAGAGACATATCTGCAAGACCTAGTCTAGACCTCCAAACTCATAGTCTAATTTTTCTTTTACAGATGCAGGCATGCATGCCAGTCACACTGTCTACCCCTCAAAGCCACCTCTGCTTAGTTTTATAGATCACAGTATAGATAAATATTGCATACAATAAAGTATGGAACATAGTACGGACACATACATACATAGCATTCTTTGTCAACTCAGGTTAAATCTCTGCTAAATGAATGGTTTTGATATGTTTGTTTCATTAACATCCCAAACCACTGAATAAAGCATCACAGTGTAAAACGAGCTTCACATAAATAATACTGTCCTTAAATAAAAATTAGGCGATGTCCCATGTTTCCCAGAATATTCTCAGTTATAGGTAAGGATGGTCTTCAACTCCTAATCTTCTTCCCTCTACAACACAGGGATTGGAGTTACAGCTGATACCATGACACAAGTTAAGAAGGAGTTTTCTATGCTGTTGGTAAGAGTAATCCAATAGTTGGTGGTCTGACTTAAATTCTAAATTGCTAATCCTATCAATTCTTGAAATTTGTTTTATGATTGATATTTCAATTAAAACTAATAACTTAAATTTCTTACGCTTTAAAATGTTACTTTCAATAATTTATAATGATTAAATTGTTACTAATATATAGTGACTCTTCACTTCAGGACTTAAAAAATAAATGATACTACACTAACAGGAAGTCTAATAACTAAAATTAGAACCTTATGAAAACTAAGGGTCTATTCAATTGTGACATTATCAGGTAAAGCAAAAAAAGATGACAGTAACAATATTCTTCTTACCATTCACTTGAAAGATGTGTGTCTGACGTACATGTTCATAGCCATCTGCATAGCAGGTATAATTGCCCATGTGGACTGTGGTAACTTTGGTGATATACAAGGACCCATCATCGCCAAAGTCCTACAAAAAGAAAATAAATCACAGAGTTGGCTACTTGAAAAGTCATTACTATTCAGGAGGAAAATAAATATATTAAACATTTTAAAGGATATAAATTATGTAAACATGAAGGATATTGATTTATCTTAATATTTCTTCAATATATTCTTTCTTTAAAAGTGAGCTTTCATGGATAAATATAACTTTCCCATGTTAATTTAAAATACATGAATTAACAAAGTATACTAGCATAATTTAATTTTATAATCTGAATTTCAGATAATTAAAGCTCTACCAAGAACTTTACTTACAACTAAAAATAAATTGTTAATTACATTTTTAGTCTTATAATTATCCACAATTTATTATAAATATCAAGGAAAATGGCTACCAAACCAGTATGTTCTCAGTAAAAGCATTTATAGCTGTATCCTGAGATATGATGTTTCGTTTTATTTTATTTTGTTTGAGGGCCAATGGAGACTAAATCATATCCTCAAACATGCTAAGCATGAACTATAACATAATACTAAATTCTCAGCAAGGGTTTAATTTTAAAGATTGTAATCTACGGGCTATGTGGATAAACAGCCAGCTATTTGGTATTCTGGAGAATAAATGCATAATTATACCTAGGGAAATATATTAAAGACTCACCTCTGTTTATCACAACCGAGTCTAAACATTAGCCTTGGAACTTCAGTATACAACCCAGAAAATCTCCTCTTTATGAGTCAATGTGTGCAATGGGGAAAATTGTCAAATCTGTTTTTCGGGTCTTTGGAAAATCTGCTCTCATAATCTGGAGTGTTTATAAAAGCCTGACTGCCCTGTCTCTGTGAGATGTCATTAGTGGCCATTTTGACCTCTCTTCCTCCTCTCACATTCGGGCTTCTGTGGTAACTTTGAATCAATAGCTTGTACTCATTCATGCTCCCTGCGAACTCCACTATCTTCATGGACTGGAGGGGAGGGAAAAGCTTCACGCTCCCCCATAGGGAACTGTTTCTGTGGGACCATTCTACAGTTATCAAAATCTTAGGTTTCCATGACTTTGCTTTATTTAAACAAAACATAGATATCCCTCTGTTTAACAATTCTGTCCCACAGTGATTTTGGTGAAACAAAATCACAGAACTTTTTACCATAAGATTTTATTGAACATAGATACTTATTTGAGATCACAGTATCCTGAAGAACAGTTTTCAAAGCAAAACTGGATAACAGGACAGCTACACACCAATTGACAGTTGAATTTTGACAAAGAAGTCAGAAGTACATGCATGATAAAAGAAAGCATCTTCAACTATTGGACCTGGTCAAACTAGATGGGTGCATCTTGGGTGCATATGCATCACCCTGCACAAAACACAAAACATAACTCCAAATGGATCAATGATATCAACACAAAACAAGATACACTGGATATTAAAGAAAAGAAATTGGGGAATAGCCTTGAATTCATTGGCACAGGAAAATGATTTTTGAACAGAACACTGGTAGCATAGGAACTAATAACAAAATTTAACAAGTTGGTCCTTATTTGATTTTTTTGTAGACCTCCTTCTCACTCCTTGAATTGAAGGAAGAGAGCAGCCTCCTCTCTGAGCTGCCCAGAACCTCTACATTCTGCCTGTGTTGAGTCCTTTTAACTTGACAAAGTACTTCTATGACAGTAGGACTAGAGTAATGAGCATAAACTTCTTTGCTTTAGTTGACTCAAATTCTTTATCCCTAATAATTTTCTGGTACACAACAAGTTTGTAGGAACACTTAATGGTTCAGCACGTGTTTTATGAGATAATTTGGCTAGGGAGATGCAACATACATATGCATGTACTCACATCCAATGGGAACTCATGTTCAGATCCCATGGCTCAATCAAATTCCAATGACTCTCAGTACACTGCTGTCTGTGGGCAAATACTGAACACCACTGTGCTCTCTTTGCATACTGTTCTACCTTAAAATTCCACTTTACAAGTCCCAAGAAATAAATTATATTTCAATTTGTTTTATTAAATACTTTACACAATGGTAATATTGTAGTCAGCTCAGAAAAATTTGTCTTGAAATAAAACTCAGTAAAATGTTTTACTAAAGAATTAAAAATAAATAAATAAATAAATCGAACTGAAAAAGCTTTTATATGGCAAAGGACACCATAATTTGGTCAAATTGGCATGATACATAAAAAATATTTACCAATTGCATACCCAATATTGGGTAATATCTAAAATACACATAACTAAAAAACCTGGACACCAAGAAAGCAAATAACATAATAAAAATGGGTTTACAGAACTAAGAAGTTCACAAAAATGGCACATGACAAACGTGTACAAAACATTTAAAGAAATATTCAACATTTTTAATCATCAGAAAAATACACCTAAAAATTACTTTGATATTTCATTTTATACCAATCAGAATGCCAAGATCAATTTAATAAAAATTGCAAGTCATGATGTAGAGGATATGAGGAAAGAGTAACACTCATCCATTTCTGGTGGGACTAAAAATTTCTACAGTAGCATTTCCTCAGGAAGCTGTGAATAGCTCTACCTCAACATCTAGGTATAATACTCTGGTATATACTCCAAAAGAAAACTACATGATGCTAGGGAAACCCTTGTTCATCCATGTTCCTTGATGCTATATTCATAATAGCTAGAAACTGAAAACAGCCTAGATGTCCATCAAAAAATGAATGGATATAGAAAAAGAAAGCATTCTGAGTGAGTTAACCCAGACCCAAAAAGACAAATACAATATTTATAGTGTTATATATAGATATTTGCTTTTAAGCCTTTGATAAGCAGGCTACAACCCATATGACCACAGAGTTTATGCATAGAGTAAAGGACTAGTGGGGAACATGGGATCTCCCAAGAAAGGGGAGAATGAATATATAGTTATGGAGAGGAAGGAGACAGACTAAAATGGGAAAATTAAACATGCAGTGGAGGAGAAGAGAGTATACAGGAAAGAATACAGGGAGTGACAACTAACAATAAAGGGCATTTGATGAGTCATAGGGAAACCTACTAGAGTACAAGTTTCTTAAAACATATACAAACATGAATGAAATCTAAATGGAGTCCTCAAATAGTGGGGGAGAAAATGCTCTAACCAGACATCTTTCTACCATTAGTGAAATGTCAAGTGCCAGGAATGGGCCACATCTAATTAAGTTCTTGACCAAGGAGTGCTGTGGATATCGCTCTGTATAAATAAACACTGATTGGCCAGTAGCCAAACAGGAAGTATAGGCAGAACTAACAGAGAAGAGAATTGAGGGAACAGGAAGGGAGAGGGGGAGATTGCCTGGAGCCGCCACCAGGACAAGGAAGATGTAAGGTACCGATAAGCCACGAGCCACATGGCAAAGTATAGATTAATAAAAATGGGATAAATATCAGGCGGATCTCTGTGAGTTCGAGGCCAGCCTGGGCTACCAAGTGAGTTCCAGGAAAGGCGCAAAGCTACACAGAGAAACCCTGTCTCGAAAAACCAAAAAAAAAAAAAAAAAAATGGGATAAATATAAGAGTAAGAGCTAGACAATGATAGGCCTGAGCTAACGGCCAAGCAGTTTAAATAATGTAAGAGTCTGTGTGTTTATTTTATAAGTGGGCTCTGGGACTGGCAGGACTTGGCAACACTTCCTGGAGGACCAGGACCCAGAGACTGGACAGCCCAGAGACCTAGAATAGAACCAAACATTACTGGGGAAAAAAATCAATGAAATTATTCTTAATGTATTCTGCTACACTCATAGATTATTGCCTAGCCCAAATGTCATGAGAGAGGTTTCACCCCACAACTGATAGAAACAGATGCAGAGACCCACAGACAAACATTAGGCAGAGCTTGGGAATTCCATGGAAGAGCAGGAGGAAGGACTGGGGGAACTGGAGGAGTCAAGGACACTACAAGAATACCCACAGAATAAACTAACTTGGCTCATAGGGTCTCACATAGACTAAATTGAAAACCAGAGAACTGGCATGGGACTGACCTAGGCCCTCTGCACGTATGTCACAGTTGTGTAGCTTGGTTTTCTTGTGGGAATCCTAACAGTGGGAGCAGGGTCTGTCTTGGTTTATGTTACCTGCTTTTGGGACCCATCCCTATACTGGGTTGCATAGTTCAGCCATAATAGGAGAGGAAGTGCCTAGTCTTACTGCCATTTGATATGCCATGGTTTGCTGATACACATGGGAGGCCAGTCCTTTTCTAAGAGAAAGAAGGAGTGGGTGGCAAGGGGGTAGCAGAGAGGGAGGGAAGAAGGGAGGGGAAAATTTGATTGAGCTGGAGAAAATAAATTAATATTATAAACATTATTATTATAATAGAAGAACTAGGAATCTGACTTTATCTTCCTGCTGGGTTAAGTGCTTGCTGCCCTTCACATGGGCTCTTACCACTTTGATCCCAAAATAAGGTCCTCAACAGAGTGGAGATGAGGTCACACTAATGCCCTTAAATTATCAAAACTATGAACCCCCTTCTCTAAAAATTGCCTAAATAGATACTTTATTATAGTGGCAGCAAATGAGCTAATGGACTAATGTACTTTTCAAGAATTCTTTACTCTTCTTTTTCCCATTTTAATTTTAACATTAGTACTGTCATGTTGGTATTTAATATTCAAATGTGCTGTTCAAGATTTAATTTGTATACAGTATGAATATTATGTGGTATAAATGTAATATGTATGTGATATGAATGTAACCTAGACTTAAAGTAATGAAATATGGACTTAACATTATCTGTTTTTGTAAAACGTCATAAACTGTGTCAACACTGTACATCAAAGAATACTTTCCCTTCAAATTTTGATTTTTTTAAAATAAGCATTTTATCTTTAAGATGTTGTAGAGGCCGGTGACATTCCAATATATTTATAGCAGTGTCCAAAGTATTTGTGATACACTGACAACTTTATTTGTATTTGTATTATATGCATTTCTGTTAAAAAATAGCTTCACTCAATTTCAGATTGATTGAAATTAAGAAA